TGGTTAGATGGATGGATGGATGATGGATGATGGTTAGATGGATGGATGGATGATGGATGATGGTTAGATGGATGGATGGATGATGGTTAGATGGATGGATGGAGGATGGATGGATGGATGGATGGATGGATGGATGGATGGATGGATGGATGGATGATGGATGGCAGAAGGGTCAGAACTCAGTTCTGTTTTCCAGAGTTTGATAGAATCCACCCACTGGCTGACAAGATATTTTGCTAACAGACAAACTAGACTGCAGTTGTTCTAAATTCACAGTTTTATTATAAAAATTGTTCACAGTTTCTTCAGAAATGTAGAAATTGAGACGATGAACGATTGAAGAGCTGCTGAAATAATGAGAAAAGAAAGAAATGTTTCAGAGCAGAGGAACATCACACGAGCTTTCAGGTAAAAACTGGTGCGTCTGGCTGTGTGCGTGCTGCGGGGCCGGGAGGCGGTAACGTAGCTGCTTCCAGAAGGACGATGAAGAGGAGGAGGAGGAGCAGGGTGGCCCGCCCCTCCAGGTGACACGGTTTCCAGCCTTGCTGAGAAGCTGCAGAGCCTCAGACAATGAGCCAGATCTGGACTCTTCCTTCTGCTYCGTGTCGATGAAAACCAGGCGAGTCTGCCTCTCCACCAGCGCTGCGTGGATGGCACTCAGCAGACCGGTTCCTGGTCCAGGGTCCGGATTGCAGGGGACCAAAATCACAGCCCGGCTCTGCTCCACAGAGTCCAACACGGCTTCTGCTGCGGCTGCAGGGAAACCAGAGGTCACCGGAGGTCACAGAGGTCACCAGAGGTCAGCACTTTCAGGATTTGTACTCAGGCAGGTGTCTGGACTCACCTTGTCCTGGTAAAACGTCTCGATCAAAAAGACACAACTTGTAACCAAAACGCTCTTCCAAAGTTTTCTCCAGCCACTTCCTGTCGTCTTCGTTCAGTCCTCCGTCAGAGTCGCTCTTATAGCTCATCAAAAACGCGTCGTAGATTTTTCCATCTGAGCAGGAAATATAACAGATTATCTCTTCTGCTGAACACAAAACAATCTGAGAGAAAAAAAAACAACAACAACACAAAAGTTAACCGGAGAAACCTTTTCTGTAAAAAATCAGACCTGATGCTAAGGGCTAAATGAAAAGCAGCTAAAGCTAACAGGAACGATGCTAAAGCAGGCAGCATGGTGGCTCAGGTGGTAGAGCTGTTTCCTCACAACAAGAAGGTTGCCGGTTTGAATCCTGGCCGGGGACATTTCTGGGTAGACTTTGCATTTTCTCTCCGTGCATGTGTGGGTTTTCTCCCGCAGACCAAAAACATTACTGTTATGCTAATCTCTGAATTGTCCCTGTGTGTGTGTGTGTGTGTGTGTGTGTGTGTGTGTGTGTGTGTGTGTGTGTGTGTGTGTGTGTGTG